AACCTGCACCCACATGGGAGACCCGGAAGAGGCTCCTGGCTTCGGATTGGCATAGTATCGGCCCGTTGCGCTCACTTGGGGAGTGAATCATTGGACGGAAGATCTTCCTCTCTGACTCTCCTCTGTGTATATCCGCCTTTCCAATGAAAAAATAATAAAAATAAATCTTTAAAAATAAATAAATAAAAAAATAAAACTACAGATGACCATGGAATCAACATGCATTTGTATTTCCATAAAATTATGTATAGAAGTATAAAGTACGATATTACTCTTTATTCATTATTTTTGTAGTTACTACCTTTTGTAATTCAACTTTCAACTGAACTATGTATCTTTGTTATGCCATTTCCAAAATATTCTTGGTATACTATCTCAGAAATCACACATAAATATTAACAACAAGCCAAGTTATCTATTATTATATAAAATGAAAGGTAGCTTATTAATGTCAGAGATTGTAGATTCTCCTTTGCTCATTCAAATCGATAGAGAAAAACGTGTTTGTCTCGTGTTTCTGAATCTCAAATAACAGTTATCCTCTTCTGTTATAGGTTTTTCTACTTTGAAATACTTTTGCATTACAACTTAATCAATGTATGTATGAACATATGAAATGTGAACGCCCATTCACCCCTATACCACACAACATGCACATGCACACACCTCAATCTACGCACTGATTTGTTTTTAGTAACAACGGTGTAGCAAAAACAATCCAGATGCTGTGAAATGGCACTGACAAAGCAACATCTGTCTTTTGCTCCACCATGCATTTATTTTTAATGTCTTTATTTTCTTCATAGATTGTCTATTACAGATTTATTATTTCCCCCATGTTTACTTCTGGTTTGCTTTAAGTGGCAATAAAGTGGACAGTGAGAAGGAAAGATAGGAAGTAGTACCCCGCTCACAGCAATGGGGAAAACCTGAGTATTATTAGGCCTGCATTTCTGGCTCTTCTAGGAAACACTCTCCATCACCACCAGGCCTTCCACAGGCCTCTGGTTAACACATACTCTTCCAACAGTAGAATTATTTTACTAGTAAAATGGCCAGCTGAAAAAATGCCAAACAGAGCAAAGACACCTTCCCCCAGTACACTTTCCAGCAGTAATTAGTTGCCTATTCATTTTTCCTTCTGTCCCTGTGACTTTACGCAATGTGCCATACTGTGTTTCCTTTTCTCTGTGCTTCAAACCGTCTTCTGGTCACTCCCCATACACTGACATGTGAAGTTTCTACCTACCAGAACTCACTCAATTACTCCACCCAAAATTGACAACTTAGAATAGTTTGGATACACAGTTGGAGAAGTATTTGAGTCAGTGTGAGGTCCAACTGTTTGTAGAGAACAAAGAAAAACAGAAGAAAAAAAACCTTAGCGTGACACAAGAGAAGGTTTACAACACAGGCATGCAGTTGCCTAATGCCTTTCTTCCCCTAGAAATCATTACTCTATGCATTCTCAAACCAAGAGGCATCTCCTTCACCCCGGGTGTCTACTTAGTGAGTTCACTTACTATAATGTCTCTCCTCTTTATACACAAGTCCTAAGCAACTAAATATGCATGGTCATTTATTTTTTTATTTCTCTACTAATTGGAATACATGCTACATTTATGCAAAATTACAAGTACAAGCCACTCATTCTTTCTCAACCAAAACAGTGTTTCAGATATCACAGAATACCTAAACATTTTCCTCATTTACTACTACATTAAAAAAAACCACAAAGAAATTATTTCAACACAATAGAAATGCAGGAAAACTTAAACATTTTGCTCTTTGTACTCATTCAGCAATTTTCCTTAATAAAGTACAGAATCAGTGTAAGCAGCGCTGGTTTAGTCAATGTATTTCAACCAACTACTTCTACTACCAATATCCTTCAATTCTATGCTAATAAGAATACCAAGGTCCCTGATGACCTATTTGCAGAACCAAAGACTATATTATCTTCAACAACTTGAGGTATCTTCAATAATCAGGATGTCACATATGTGCACTGGAGTCATTTTACAGAACCTATGCTACACTGTATAGCTTTCATGAAAACACTTAGGAGGTTCTTTCACGTCCTACAGAGCAAAATGCGCAGAGTTCCATGCCTAATAGTATACTCCAGACTCAGTCTGGATTTAGAAATCTAATGTAACTTAGAAGCTAATGTGTAAAAAATAAGTTACTACAAGAAAAAACATAATAAAAGTATGTATTTTTATTATGGTGTACCAAGACCAGTATCACCAATTACAATTAGACATTTATCAGACTTAAATTGTGCAAAAACACAGCTGGCCAATACCCTATAGTTGGACACAGAAGACACTAAAATACAACTAGAGTTATGCTGTACAACCAACTAAGTTCTGTTTTAAGATTGAATTTAGGGCCCGGTGCGGTGGCACAGTGGTTAAGGTCCTCGCCTTGCACGCCCCGGGATCCCATATGGGCACCGGTTCTAATCCCTGCAGCCCCGCTTCCCTTCCAGCTCCCTGCCTGTGGCCCAGGAAAGCAGTCGAGGACGGCCCAAGGCTTTGGGAACCTGCACCCGCGTGGGAGACCTGGAAGAGGCTCCTGGCTTCGGATTGGCATAGCATTGGCCATTGCGCTCACTTGGGGAGTGAATCATCGGATGGAAGATCTTCCTCTCTGACTCTCCTCTCTGTATATCCGCCTTTCCAATAAAAAAATAATAAAAATAAATCTTAAAAAAAAAAGATTGAATTTAGGAGATTGAATAAAGTTTACTTTCAAACTTACAACACAGAAGAGAACAGGAAGAAGCCAGAGGTGCCTCGCTTGTGATAAGCCTGCATTAGTCCAGGCTGAGGCACTCTTATTATTATTAGAACCAAAACTTACGTTAGTTTTCATGGAAATACTTCCCCATCAAAAGGCAAAATTAATTAAATGAAATAATTACAAAACATCTACCAAGCTACAATGTATTCATTTTTTATTGAAAATGTAAAGCACAAATCCGCCACACCACGTATTACTACATTGAAATAAAACTTGGTATGCACTCAAACCTCCGGACTAACAAGTTATACACCTTGCCAATGTCCTCATGGCCTTTAAAAAAAAAAAGCTAAAAATTAATGAATGACCTTGTTGGGTCAGGAGAAATTTCAGACCTACTAAATTTGATTAGAATTATAAAGACATTTGTAAAGCAACTTAGTTTTACTACATCAATAGCAGAACTACAAAGTGAAATATATACTAGTAACATGAACATGTGTCATCCGCTATTCTGGAAAAGTCTGTAAGACTAAACAATCACTATTACAACTTCCTACTTTACTTCTAGTAAATTAGGGCAATCAAAATTCCAGCTGGCAGTTTCAGAGTTTTGGTGCCTTAAAATTAAATGGCAAGCAGAAGAGCTATAAAGTGTGGTTCAAAAACATTAAATGATGAGCTAAAAGTTACATTAACTGGTTAAACTTCTAGAAGCATGTTAGGATTTATCATAAACTGAGAGAATAAATATTTATGCCATTTTACATGACGGCTATTTACACTCCGGATATCTGGGCAGTATTTACAAACAATTTTAGAATGTATGCATGCCTGGTAAACTGAGTTTTCTTTGCTGTAACTTATGCTGGACTAAAGGTGGCTTGCTCTTCCTACCTGAAACAGTGCTTTCTTAAGAGGTTTTCCTACATAGGAGGAAGCTAAAATCCAGGGAAATGTATTAATCTAAACTTCAATATAACTACCATATTATGTCATTATATGTCTAATTACCTTATGAAATAGACTGTCATTCAATATATTTACTCATTGAATATATTTAATAGAGTATATGCAATATATTCAAGGAATAGTGTTATTCATGAATATTCATATGAATATGTATTCATATTGCCACTGTCAATGAACAAACATGTTATATTCATTGAATATTTAAGTATGTATTTTATATTCTTAGAATATAAACAGCCCATGAAAGGAAAACTATCATCTTTGTTTTTTAAGACAGATCACTGTGCTTAATATTTATAGAGCAAAACAACATGAACTAATCTAAAACAAGAATCCTGGCTCTCAAATGCAGACTCAGCTGGTATTACTGGAGGCTGCGTTACTTCCCTCCAATTCCTCACTTGACGAAGTATAGGGATACAGGGCACATCGCCTATCCTGGTCTACAATCCTCACACTCACCGTATAGAACACTAAATGTTAGTTGGGATGCGGAGCACAAAAACTTCCCATCCGTTATTGATGGGAATAAAGAATGGTATGATCATTTTGGAAGATAGTTCAGGACTTTCATACAAAGCTAAACCCGAGTACATCATGTAATCCAGCAACCATAGTCCTAGGTGTTTACTCATACAAGCTGAAAGATTAATTCCACACAAAACCTGCACCTGAGTATTTATAGCAGCTTTATACATAACTGCCAAAAATGGAAGCAATACAGATATACTTCACTATGCAAGAGGAATCTGTAGAACAATCATGCAATGCAATATTACAGATTAGCATTTGGAAACAAGTTATCAAAAGTGAAAGAAGAATCTTAAATTTATATTGCAAAGTAAAAAAAAACAACTTAATTTGAAAAAGCTACATATTATATGAATCCAGGTAGGTAACAATGCAACAAGGACAAAACTACAGCAACAGTTAAAAACAGAAATAAATAAAATAGTGTGTTCAGGACTCCACTTCTCAGAAGGTGGTTCAAGAGGAAAAGAGTCCAATGCATTTTTAGGAGAGTGAAGCTATTTTACACAATACTGTAATGCACGTATGAACCACAGAAAAGTGAATCTAAAATAAATCATTTTAAAAATAACATTTTCCATGAACTAGTTACAGCCATCAAGAAATAATACATTAAAAAATTAAATAACTTGAAAAGTCAATAAACAAAATGAATAACATTTTCATGAAAATGGTGACATTTACTTTACCTATGAACCATCAATGACCTTAACACCGAGGGAAAAGAAAAGAGGCAGAAATATCCTCACCTGTCTTGTGACTGTTCTTCATACATCCGCTCCTTCCCTTCTTTAAAGAGCCTGATCGCCCGTTTTGATTTTTTCATTAGACTATCAATGTAGATTTTAAAATATTCATTCTCACTGAGTTGGGCAAGTTTCTGGTTGTCATCATATTTACTCAAGATAAGTCGCAAATGTTGGTATGTATCAGGCAAAATATCAAGAATATACGGTGGGCTGTTTTTCAACTGAAGTTTGGGATTTTGGCACAGTCTCACCTATAAACAAAGAAAAAAATAAAGTTGTTTATCTGAATTCCAATCCTTTCTTTCACAGAGGAAAAAAAGAATTTATAAAATTTTATATTATCTCATTATTTTCCATAATGACGTTAAAGTACTACCTCCAATTTACAAAGAACTGAAAAGCAGTTAACACAGTTGAATCCTTTTTCTGTCTGGAATGTCCATACTTTCAAATCACTAAAGTTTTAATTCTCTGTTCTAAAACATCCAATCGCACATATATTACCAGAAGTCCAGGGAACTAATCACACTACACCACTGCCTGTATTTTCTGTTTAAGAAAAATTAGGAAATCGACTGTTTGTTACACCTCACATTTCAACATTATTTTACTACATCAAATTCAGAGTTTAATTAATGTTTTGATGTATGTTCCTTACCCTCAGGAGACTAATACATGAAGGTATAATTTTAATAACTAAGTTATTAAGTAGTAAATGGGTATCAGGTCAGAACCAGCCTTTCAATTCCACCCCCACGCAGTCTCCCATGCCTATGAACATGTGATATCTAACGGTTCAGTCATGCCGTCAGGTGCCAGCCAACCACTGGGGCGTTGAGAGCTGCCTGCAGAACTGAAAAAAACCTTCTGCTAGCAATAATATTAATAATAATACTAATAATAACAATAATTAAACTTCATTTACTTCTAATGGTTAGCATATGAAATAGTCACAAAGCAAAAGCCTATCTCACTTAACCCTTCAACTTGGTTTTAAGGAATTATAAAATGATTTTAATCCAATCACTTGGAACTATACAGCATACACAGTATGTATAAAACGGTGGATATGCAAAGAGCTTGGCAAAAAGCAGCCTCCTACCCTATAAGAACTACATCCTTACTTTGTTTTCCACAAAATTTTTAAGGGCAAGATATGGGCATAGAAATGAGCACGCCTGCAGCATGATTAGTGGGAAGCTGACTTGAAGACACATATAGTATAGATTTAGAGGAAGGTAACGTGAGGAATGCAGTCACTTCTGTAAATGGCAAAATGTTCATGAGCAGATGCACTAAAAGTGAACAAAACCAGATACAGAACAAAAACTACTGTATGATCTCACATGTGGACCTAAAAACAGTAAGTCACATAAACAGACTAGAAAGAAAGATGGTAACTGGGGAAAGGAATGGAGAAAGTGGGAAGAAGGTCAAAGGGTACAAGTCCAGACTCCCACTACAAAGCAAAAGCACTACAGTTAACAGCAACGGTGTACACACTGAAAATGCCCTTGCATAACTGGATTGAATTTAAAAAGTAATAATGGAAGAAAATGGAATATGTTAATTTAGGGTACACTGATTATGTATATCCAAATGCCTCAAATATACAACATGCTTAATTTAGTCAAAATCGATCGAGAGCCCTTTCCATACAATTTTTGCTGCAACCCATGTTGTTTTGATGCTTTTGTTTTTATTTTAATTTCTTCCAAATAGTTTATTTTCTCTTAGCAAATTTTTCATTGACTCATAGATCACAGAGTAGCAACATTTTACCCAAGAAGCTTTTGTGTCTTGTTTTTCATTTCTTCGTTGATACGTTGGTTATTCAGTAGCATGTTGTTTAACTCCATGGTGCTGTCATTTTCTTTTAACTTCATTCCTGTTGTTGAATTTGTTTCATGGCTCTCGCTTGAGGGAAAATATAGTGACGGTGTATTGGAAACTATCATATCCAGATATGAAGATACAATGCAGTATGCATCTCTACTTCCAAATCAACAATGGACTCCAAATGAAACCGTTGGATATATCTGGACTACCTGGCATTGTCTGTATCACCAATGTCCTGCACATTAAATAACAGACTGATGGACATATGACTGCTTATGAAGGACTACACTATTGTAATAATATCGGGAAGATCAGTTGGGAGTTGGCAATTTGGGGAGAGGGAAGGGAATTCCTAGACCCGATGAAATTGTACCACAAAATTTAAAAATTAATAACAAAATTAAAAGTTTAAATTAAAAAAATGATTGAACAGAGAAAAACGTCAAGAGTACTTTAAGTGCACACAGTACTAAAGGTTCAACTTAATCTGAAAATTCCAATGTGTCTTAGAGGATCCAGCTCAGAAAACAGATAAGAGTGACGGATCGTGCATAAAATGTACAGTCAAAATTGACTCTAGAATATTTCACTGATACTTGTGTGTTTATCGTTTTTAAAAATTATAATACATTGTGAATTTTTCTCTAAAAAATTCTTACCTAGTTTTAATACCTGCATTTACTTTATTATTTATCTCTAGAGTGATGTCTCTTAAGCGTGAAGTTCCATAGAATACGGATCTCCCCTTAGACACTAATAACACCAGGGACCGCAACACACAGTTGAACAACCTTAATTTCAAGAATAACAAACACAATGATTCAAACAACAAATGAAAAAACATACCCTCAGACTCAGCATCTTGTTTTAAGAGGCCCTTAAAATTCACTCCCTGAAGAGCTCACAATAGCTAGGATTGGGTGAGGTGGAAGCAGGAGACTAAGCAGAATGAACTCAGGTCATCTTCCACTGCCTTCTCAGATACACTGAAGACATAGTAGGCTGCATCTCAAACCACTAAGCTACAATAAGGAACCCACTCACTTCTAATATTAACCCAGGACTGCAGCATATCATGTTTCTCTTTCTGTACAGTGCTTAAACAGAAGTGTTAGGCACATAGCATATCACCAATATATAAATGCATGGATTGCCTACTTCTGAAGGAAAATACACATAAACAGATGAAATGTCACTCAAATAATTTGATTGCAGTTTAATTTTATTTTCATGATTGAATTCTATAAGCAATCAGTTAACAATATATAGGCACAGGTTTTATTTAAATGTAACAATATTATTTTGATCTCCAAAAAATTTACTGGAAATCCAAAATGGCATCTCCTCCGTTAACTAAACCAAACCCTATGAAAGCACAGTTCAAATATCTGACAGACCCTTTCACAATTTTTATTTTTTGATATGATATCATCAGAAGTTGATTCTATCCTAAAGACTAATTAAATTCTAAACATACCAAGGTTTTAGCAAATACTGATTGCAATAAAAAGGATGTAGCATTTCAGTTCTTTAAACCAAAAGATACAATTACAATTCAAAAGAAATCTCAATGATATTTCCACTAATATCCTACAATATGTATAATTTAATGCCACTGACATAAAAGCTGGTAAAACATATTACAGACTGATAAATTATTAACTTGTTGTTAGATGACCAAACAACTTCAAAATCATTTCCTCTGCTAGTCAATATTTGAACTGATAAATCCAAAACAAAATTCAAGTTTTTTTTCAGATATCTGTAATAACTGTTCTTTCATAAAGTGCTCTAAACACTTTAGACAATTCACTATATTCTTTGTTTAAGACTCATTTTTATTTATTTGAAGTGCAAAGAGAGAGAAAGAGAGAACACTAAATATTCTATCTGCCAGATCACTCTGATGTATCTGCAACAGCAAGGCTACACCAGGCTGAGCCAGAAGCCTGAAACTCCACTGAGTTGTGGGTGCCAGCGCACAGGTTAGTAAGCCATCTTCCACTGCCTTCCAAGGTGAGTTAGCCAAGAGATGGCTCAGAAGTGGCGCATCCAGGACTGGAATCAATACCCGTTTGGATTCAGGCATCACAGGCAGTGGCTTAACAGTCTACAACAGGATGAAGGCCCAAAATTTACTGCTACTTCTGACTTGTTTTATATTAAACTGTAAAATTCCATGTGGAAATTTAGTGCTGCACTGGGTAAAATGATTTCAATAACTTTTATATCCCAGGTACTGAGTTTAGTGCTAGGAAATTACAGATGATTAGACCACACTTTTTGCCTTAAGGTGTCTGGCAACAGAGAACTCATTCCCTATAATTAACCTATGACCTATGTGCTAAATTATTTCTGCTCTAAGGGAATCTTAGTAAGGATCCCATTCAATCCATTCACTTCCAGATAAAGAAACTGAGAGCTACAAGATTAAGAGACTATTAAAAAAGCATTAATCCCACATAAGAGTCTGAATCTTCCCAATCTCAAACTGAACCACTTTCCAAGTCTATTCAATTTAATTAGAATTAAGCAGATAATGAATAATCCCTACCAAAGTCATTCTTATTTTTTTGTTTTATTCCATTTGTGAATTTACATGAACTCCAAGACCATTTATTAATTCAACAAATGTTTATGCCTCAGACAGTTTCATGCCTTGAGGAAGACATAAAGGAACAAATCATAGTCCTGCCTTCAAGGACTTGTGGAGTAAGAATGATAAGTAGTTAAGGAAAAAAATGACAGGAGAATTTAGGGTTGTGATGGCGGAAAGCACAAAATGTTAGGGAGGGGAGCAGCTCATTCATACCTACAGAATAAGAAGAAAAACATACCTGCACTTGTCAAAAGGAATATTCCACGGAAAAGGAAATGTGAAGACTTAAGAGGTCCCAAAGAGCGAACTGCACTGAGAGAGGCATATATAATCATTTCAGTAGGACCAAAAGAGGAGCCCTTCCATTAAAACTGTACAGACAAGCAACACTGCTTCCTAAACTTGCACTTGGAAAGTGTGACCTGCAACATAAATTACTGCATGCCACTGAGTGTGCACTGTTCAGCAGTTGGATTACTATTAAGCCGTGTGAATTACCACAGTTCCTACCAAAGATGAATATCCCTACACCAATATCATGATTTCTGAACAGGTCAAATTCATTCCATTCAGTAAATATTTACTGAATGCCTGCTATGTGCAAGGAGCTAAAAAGTCAGAAAAAGAAAAACTGCTTTTCTAAAAACAGCATATTAAGGACAAAAATCAAGTTTGCTACAAGGTTCAAGTTTGATTCAAATGATTTACACCTCTTCTTGAAATATCTGTTGTTTCCTAGAACCAAAGTTTATCCCAATATAAAATAGCTTTCACAAGGAAAACCGTTGTAGTTATAATATACAATCATGATGT